TCCCGGACGTTTGCATGAGTTTTTCATGACGGTGTTGAAGCAAATTATGTTATAGGTGCTTGCAAGAGCCTAAGACCTTTTTTAAAAAACACTAAAAAGCACACTGAAAACGGACAAAAATGGACAAAACGAGTGATATAAACTGAAACTAGTCTATACGTGAAAAACAAAAAAAACCGAATAGTAAGCTGAGGCAAAACCACAGGTAACTATTAAATATAGTGAAACTCAAAAAAAAGTAATCTACCGAACGTATAGCTCAGGATAGATTCTTTAGAACTGAAATGGTACTTTTGTTGCGTAAGAACACAGCAAAAGTTTGATAAACGCAAATCACGTTAGGACTAAACTTCCCGTTCGAAAAGCGCAGTAATAATAAAGTAAAGAGGAGAGGAGGCAAACACAGTTATTTCACGAATTCAAGTCAACTTCCCCTCACCAGAGCCTTAAGCGAGCGATCAAAGCGTAGTTAAAAAAGATACCACAGAAAAATGTTTTGAACATCCGAAATACTGATATAGCAGGTTACAACAATGATAACTATAAAGTAAGCACAACAGCAACCAACAAATATGACACTCTTTGTCGTTTATGGACCAACAATGTTTGTGATTGTGAGATATCTATGCAGTACTTTATAATCGTGATGAGCCATCAGTCCTCGTGGTTCCGATAACAGTCCTCAGATTATGAAGTGAACCTTCTCACTTGACCAACAAAAACTGAGACATTCCTCACTCAGCCAACGAAAGACACGGCTACACATCCAATTTGACCGTTATCAAGGAAACATATAATACTGGACGATCGGAAATAAATTCATCGCTAGGACCAGTGTAGATAATAACACTGAACGAAATAAGCCTATGCTCCGAATCATCCTACACTCCACCACCATCCTCCTGGACTCAGTTTTACCTGCTGAATAAACATAATCTTTCTTGTTCCTGTGTTAATGACAAGGGTTTATAGACTACTTATTGCTATTTCCCTGTCTTCCTTCTCACTGCCGCGATTGTAACACGCAAAGATAGAGCTTCTACTCAAACGTGGACCATGTATGCGTGTAACAGGTTTTTCACGTCGCGAACTGCTGACCCAAAAGAAAGCGGATAAAGCGATCCTTTATATTCACTATACAGAATAGGACTAACGTGATAACCACTCACTTTATCAGTCAATGGTACCAAACAGCAACATATACAAACTACTATTGCTCATCTCCCTTTCCCTCATGAATCTCAAATACAAACAGTCAGCATGCGTTTGTCATGGTCACAATTCGTATGGCATTTCATTTTGTACATTTTACAAGGATTTTAGGCTAGTTATGCTCTGCTACCACACAAACTTGTTTCGTTTCTGCCTGAATAAACCGTGGTACAGTCCTACTGATTTTACTTTCTCGGTAACTCTACTTGAGTAGCATCTCATTTTTAAACACATGTCTTAAATTATTTAGCAGACCTGCAAATGTGGTTCTAACCCGCAATGTCGGAAAGAGATAATCTTTAAGCGACCATAAGTGGAATATGAAAATGAAGAGTATTGATAAACAGAACACACAATTATTGAGGGAGTCACGTAAGTAACACAGTATATGAGGCGAAACGGAGATCTATTATCTCATGGAGAGTATTCATACAAAGACTTACGCATACCCATACGCACCCATCTACATGCACAGGGATCTTACACATATACAAGATAAGAGGAAGAAAGGATAAAAAATTTTCCTAATCAAACCTAAAAACTCCATTCAAATCCAAAACAACAGTATTGACTTGTATTACAAAGAAAAAGAACAAAGTGAGAATTAATGTCACCTCAGGATCTGAAAGTAGGTAATTTCCGGCGCCGCTAAAGTCTGGAGCGTGTACTTTTTAAACTGGCCGAGAAAGATGCTTAGACAATGTTGACATAGGGACAACAGAAAAGTATGGTATGTTATTAAACAGGTTACACATGACCCAGATATAGGAAAAATATTGAAACTTAGTAATCTGGTTGTGACGAAGTAAGCCCTACAATACTGAAAAAGCTCGCGGAATTCCCCATGCACTGATTAAGCAACCTGTCTCAACACACATTCGATTATAAGTGGCTGCCAGGTTAGAACTCAAATGTCTAACTTTCTCTTTGTTACCGAACTACCTATATGACCGAGAACTCCGCACCAAAGTAAACTGAGTACACATTTTTGGTTACTCAGTGAATAGTACTGGACTCCTTGTGATATCTCATATTCATGAACGACCTACTAGCCGTCTCTAATTCGTCAACCATTATCTGTGCAGGCGAAATTAAGCTGAATAACTACCAGTTATGAAGGCAATTCACCAAAACTCTGAAGATATCTGTTGCTGTAGGAATAAACAAAAAACATGGTTCAGTATTCGGTCTCCGGACGTGTAAAGCGACGTTATTTTGAGCCACCGAGGGGCAAAATAGTGACCACTTGCTCTACAATAACTTCCCATATTGCACCTCAATGGACGGTGAACTAGGTCTGTTACCTAGATGTTACCGACAACTACTGAATAGTCCAGTCAAAGTATATGTTACTTCTCACTTTATCCAAAGGCGAATGGGTACGCTGTATCCTGAGTTTTTTCAGGCACTATCCTAGACCTAGACATTCCTATATCTCGGAACTTACAAATTTCTTGCAATCTACCCCCTAAAAGTTTCATAAATCTCGTAGAGCATGTACAAAAGCGTTTACTGTATGAATACGGTACAAACCCTATGAAGACCGTTTTCATCAATCGATATTGTAATTGCTAGGTAACAGAATATTACAAGACGACTCGATAGTGATGTTTTTTAGACTGATGCCTAATTCGGTATTAATTACATTTATTTTGATGCTAGAATAATAGGCCTAATCCGAAAATCGCGAAGTCCCCATGATAAGACTACCTAATTTATAATATCTAACATGCGAGTTACTTGATTTTCTATACTGACTTGTCTTACGTCATAGCCATATGTATTACGTTTAACATTTTTGATGAACATATATGAACTGGGGGTAGAATAATATATTTAATATGACAAGGAAGAAGCAACGTACAGTTATCATACCTGCATGGCCAAGCCATGACATAACAATTAGATGTTTTTGCGCTCACCAATTCTTCAATGTAAACACTGAGTATACATCTCATCAGTTGTCGTACGTTCAGCCTCAAGGATCATGTGATTAAGGACCAGAAACAATGCATTACTCTCCCATTAGAATCAACATGATGTCAGTTCGATATGAAAGTAAGTAGGATTATCCTTCGCTTGTTACGAAGAGAAGAAGGATTCTTCAGGTATTGGAAAAATGAAAGGTGCATCGAAAAGAAGCCAGCATCAGCTGATCGGAAATGATGATTTCAAAATTTTTGGCTTCATTCTCAATAGCACTGCATGTTCGCCGTACTAAGTACTTTATGTCGGTCCAGTAACAAAATTCTACCAGAAACTCAACAGTGTATTTCATAAGACAACCCATAACGAATTGCACATGAAAGTAATGTCCAGAAAGTTGTGGACCATGTCTTGAAACCTATCACTACAAATACTAAAGATGCCATAGATATTTGGAGTTTGACAATGGCTTTACATGTAACATGTTTATAATCCTACTAGGCTAATTCAGTCAAATCAGATATCAGAATGAGAAGGTTCGAAGACATATTTGAAAGGCTATCGATGTATCGAGAAGCGTTTATTGTAAGCTGGCTAACTGTCATAAGAGATGCGTCGCACCCACTCATGATCTGGTGCGGACGCGTCACTAAGCACCTTCAGCTAGATGTTTCCATCAAAATTAAGCAGGTCAGCATCAAGACTTATAGAACTATTTATTTTGGGTGTTTATTTACCTCTACAATATCATTTTTCCACTATTTCTGAAGCCATCTTGAGCTTATTTCTACTAAGTCTTTTCTTAAACACCCATATTTACTGGTTATTTTTAGACATTTGTTTATCTATACCGAGTACGTAGTCAATTTGTTTACTTCTTTAAACCATAGTCTAATTTCGCGATTTTCTTCTAATTCCTTTTATATATCCTCATAACTGGCGTTGCGAAAGCTCTTTTGATTAATCCTTGGATAAGATATACAGCAAACAACTTTAAAATCCACCATGATTAGTGCCACTGAGTGCCTAGACTACTCAGTCTTCAGTCTTCAGTAATAAGGATAGGATATCTATCGACCCATATTAATCCTTGCAGTTTTTAATGCTGTGGAGGTCTAATCTTGTTTTGAATATATCAACAGAAGGTACTGATATTACGTGTCCCGGTAGAGAATTCCAGTAATTCACTACTCGGTGCGAAAAACGAAATTCCAGACGTAAACTATTTGATCTCAATTTTCGAACTTTCTTTGAATGTCCTCTCAAATGATCTGTCCTAGATGGAAGCAAAAGATAAGATATGTTAATACCAAGGTCGTCGTTCAGTATACGATAAGCCAATATTTGATCACCCCGTATTCTACGGTAAGATAACGGAAATAAGTTAAGGTGTTTCAGTCTGTTTTTATAAGATAGGCCAGATAGACTTTGTACCATCTTAGTAACTCGTCGTTGGACTCTTTCTATCATCTCTGCCTCATACTTGAAACAAGGACTCGCTGCTTGAATCCCATATTTTAAATGTGGTCGCAAATAAATCGGGTATAATGATCCAAACATTACACCATCTAAATATTGGAAAGACCTACGAATAGATCATAATGCCCTTCAACCTTTCGCAGCAGCGGCCTTACAGTGACTAGTGGTTTTGAGATCACTGCTAAATATGACTCCTAAATCATTATAGTTTCTTACTTTGGGTAGCACGAATCCACCTATTGTGTAGTGGTGTAGTGCAGAACTGACAATATTAAAGACCTATAGCCTTACACTAACATCAAAGAGAAAGAGTAAATAAGTGATTTGGTTTGCATTAGTTTTCTAGGGAGATATTGAATGCTGCATATTGTACAGGTGTTCTCGACATGCGCCAAAATCAAATGAGACGTTGACGTTATTTTCAAATTATGACGATTAGGCTGTAAAACATGGTTAGTAGGAGGCGTCTAACTGTATCTGGCGATCACAAGCCCGAAGTAAGATATGCTGATCTTCAACAAACTTCTCAGGAACAATCATGTTGGTCCAAACCCACTGTTTATCATGCTGCCATCGTGATATTCCTAGAGTTCTTTGCCTTCGGATTGCTAACCACCCCAATGATCTCGGTATATTCCAGTTATGTTACCATTTATACGTTTCAGGTTTTAGATGAGACATTTCCCAAACATACCTTTCTAATGAATGGTATCATTCACGGAGTAAAGGGAATATTATCCTTCCTTAGTGCACCATTTCTGGGTGCTCTCTCAGATATGTTTGGACGAAAGCCTTTCCTACTTCTAACAGTAACCTTCTCTTGTTCTCCAATACCACTGATGAAAATCAGTCATTGGTGGTATTTTACAATGATCAGTATATCAGGTATTTTCGCAGTGACATTTTCATTTGCTTTGGCATATGTCGCTGATATCACATCAGAAGAAGATAGAAGCTGGGGATATGGACTAGTAAGTTCGGATATGAAAATATGACTGGTAACTTTTCCACACTGAAGTCAATTGTCCAAAAATTAGGTTTTCTGTTCCTTCACAAATACCACACCAATTTTAAGGTTTTTAAGTCTGTAAAACTTCATTTCTTGACGAAACAGGTAATGGACTAAAAGTTTCGATAGTTAGTTGTGTTTTGACTAAGGTTTTTGGTAGCTAACACTTTTGCCCTGCCTCTTTGGTTTATGTAGTTTGAACTTTTTTTCTCAATCAGTAGCGTTACTTGACATGTTCGATGTTAGCCTTAATTGCCCAACTGAAATATGGGTCAATAAAATATAAAAGACAGATTTCCCATGCTCTTATAATTGATCGCCTAAAGTATAGCATTCCAGTGTACTACCTTCGTGCGTTTATTATTAGTATTTAGTTTATACACTAACCAGTAATGCGAACACTGCAAATAACTTACTGTAGTCTGTGGTGAATTGTTTCGTGTATTAGTTTATTGTTTCAAACCATCTTTGCGACTGACATTCCGGTTTATATTGGTGTCAATTTCTGCGATTGCTGTGCCAACTATGCAGAAAGAATAAAGGCAATCAGCCTTCTATTTGCTTACATTTTGTGTGGCACTGGTTGTCTGTTTGCAGCTTCACTATTTATTTCACGTAATCGATCACTTAAATTTAAACTTATTATTAGTATTTTCTGTATTCGACCTCAACGAGTTGGACGTCAATCATTAATCGATTTTCAGTACTGCAGGATGTTGCCCAAATGTCTTAATAAAACAGAGTTCAATCAATCTTTTTAAACATCTTCATATTGTCCATTCAAAAACTTTTCGAAGGAGTTCCTATTTACTTCCTTAATGTCGCGCGGTAAGGGGGCATCCTGTGTATAAATTGAGTTGTCAGATTCAAAGTTTTTATCTAGCATAATTGACAAACCTTAATTCAAAACGAGTCGTTCAGGTGGATTCCATAATTTAAGAGATCATGTGACCCTGAGAGCGTAACTTAGTTGCTGGAGTCTATACATATCCATCTGATGTTACTTCAATGTCTCGTACATTGGATTCGTGAATCAAGAGCCCTATCATTTTGTTCTCGAAGACCCATCGTGTGATTGGAATGTCTAGGCGGCTCAACAGTTTAATGTTCTTTATGGGTTTGTATGGCAACCTTATGGCAGTAGAATCTAGTCTCACCCATCTGGATAACCAAGCGCTAGGGGTCGAGTGATACTAATCCGTCAACAGTTGATTTTATTTTACTAGAACTCCAAAACAGCTGGTATTATGAACGGTGTTTTATCACTTAGCATACCTACGTTGCCAACGATTGAAGTTCGAGGTTGAGGTTTGTCGGCGACTCGACGATGTCAAACATTTTCCTTCAATAGGAGTCAGCGTTAGTTATATAAACTGAAATGTCTAGTTCGAGCTTTAAGGCACTCTTTAGAATGCCTTGTCTCACCCATTCTCAAACACAAAATGACGTTTTCATCAAAAAATTAACTGGATTGTCTACAGGAAGTGTGACAGTAATATTTCATTACTCCAAAATCAGTCAGTCAGCTGCAACATAGGACCCCTCAAATACCCTGATACGGCCGAGAGTGGGAAAAGCCCGCCCTCCCTCTCTAAATCCTCTCACATGGCCACGCGTGTATAGCCTCTGCCAGGGAAGTCCTGTTTATTGCCTTCTCGCACTCCCGACCGTTGTTGCTACCTTGACGTGGTGGTCGGGCTTGCCTATCGTGATGTAGCAACCGAGCTATACTGGCTGGAACAACCGTTCCTCAAGGTCCTACCATGTCAGACAGGTCGGTTGAAGAGCGGTAAGACTAAAAGCAACAAACCCAAGGTCCGAAGGCGAAGCCGTACTGCTGACTGTACAGAGGTGTGACAGCAGTAAGGTGTTTCCTTCAGACAACCAGCATGACAGCGATGCTGTCTTCCCACAGGGAGGGGTGGGGTTAGAAAAGGTCGACCCTAAAAATGCACACCTCACCTTACCTCACAGATTTCCGTCTCCGGCGGTAAGGCCCTTTGAAGAACGGAGCTAACACGTCAAAAACCTCCCACGAAAAGGCCGTGCGCGACCGGCCTCAAGCAGTTGTCCGTTGGGCACTGCGGTCACGCTCTCAGATCACTGAGACCGCCTCTAACCCAATTTCCTTTTCAGGTACCTCCAGAACAACCCTTCCACGGTGTGGGCAACCGGGAAGTGATAACCGCCCTCATACCTCTAACAGCACCCAAGACCACTGTATTCATAATCAACCTTCCTCTTCAATAACTATTATTCCTCCTACATCGACTTTCAACTCTAAACTTCCTCCTTCGGCTTCCTCCTCAAGTGTCACCATAGCCAACGATTCTAGTGCTCAAAACTCTGTCCCAGGTCTACTGAAACCTCGCTCCAAACTACACATTGGAGCTTTCAACGTACACACTCTATGTCAAATCGGTCAGCAGGCTTCCTTGGCTAAAACCCCAAAGTCTCTTTCGATTGATGTATGCTGTGTCTCCAAAACACGCATACAGGATTCGTGTGGTCATTCACTTGATCTCACCTCGGCAAAACGGAGAGCCAACGAGATACACCCTACGTGTATCTGGTGACCCGATGGCCAGTTCTCGTGGACTGGCAGGAGTAGGCACAGCACTAAGCATGAGGGCGGAACAAGCACTGCTAGAGTGGATCCCCGTCAACAGTCGTCTATGTGCTGTTCGGCTAAACGGCTCCGTAAAATCTCGGAAGGATAGGGGCACACGTCGTTGCCTTTTCGTCGTTTCTGCCTACGCTCCCACTGACTGCAGCTCAGATGATGTGAAAGATGAATTTTACAGAAAGCTGTCCGAACTTCTTCAGAAAGCTAAACGTTCAGACATGGTACTCGTAGGGGGTGACTTTAATGCTCAGATAGGTAGCTTAAACCAAACAGAAAGGCATTTAGGTGGATATTTTAGCATTCCGACACAGCGAAGAGATAATGGTGACCGCCTGCTGCAACTGTGCTCAGACAATCGCTTATTTTTAGCAAACACAAATTTTAAGCATAAGGAGAGACATCGTCTAACGTGGCGACCGCCTGCACCAAACCAACGATGGACTCAAATAGACCATATTGCCATCAGTCATCGTTGGCGAGGGTCGGTACAAGATTATCGCTCACTCTGAAGTACCTGCTTGGACTCCGACCACGCCCTAATACGGGCACGCATCTGCTTGCGCCTCACTGGACGCAAAAAAGCCACAGTAAAAAGACCCATTAGAACCGAACTGAGTAGCGAGGAAACCAAAAGTAGGTTCCAGGAACAACTGAGGTCACGATTAGGTAGTTCTGAAAACGAGGTTGACCCAGTTGTTGCTTGGAAAGCCATACAAACAGCTGTGGAAACAGCAGTGACATCTATTAGCGACTTAAACCACAGAGTTTCAAAGAACCAATGGATTTCTTCAAAGTCTATTACACTGATGGATTCTCACAAACTCGTCCCATCAGGTTCCGAACATGAGGAAGAGCGACAACAAATCAGATCTAGGTTAAGAAAAAGTCTAAGAAACGACCGTGAGCAGTGGTGGGCAACGAAAGCAAAAGAGATGGAAAAGGCGGCGACTATAGGGAACACAAGACAGCTTTACAGACTAATAAAAGAAACTGGAATTAATAAGTCAAGTGTAAGTGAGATTATATCGGAAAAAGACGATACACTCATCTGCTCCCAGTCCAGGCGTTTAGAACGATGGGCGGAACATTTCAGAGAACAGTTCAGCTGGCCTTCAGCTACTCTACAACTACCCTCCATTCCCAGACAGTGTGAATGGAACATTGAAGTAGGTCCCCCAACTCTTGCTGAAGTTCAAAAGGCTATAGTTAATCTGAAACGAGGAAGGGCAGCTGGTCCAGATGGATTGGCTCCAGAGGTCTTTAAGGATGGTGGTCCAATTTTAGCGATTAGGTTGACTAATATTTTAGCTAAAATCTGGGAGTTAGACGTTATTCCATCTAACTGGTCACAATCACTTATCGTCCCAATATATAAGAAAGGGTCAAAATCATCCTGTGACAACCACAGAGGGGTTAGTTTAGTTAATATAATATCTAAAATACTAGCCTCGATAATTATCAGACGCCTAAGACTCGTGAACTGCAAACACGAGAGAACCAAGCTGGCTTTAGACCTGGTCGGGGCTGCATCGACCACATATTCACCATTCGTCAGATTCTAGAACACAGGCATACTTATCGGCGTCCGACAATGGTGGTCTTTCTCGACTTAAAAGCAGCATTTGACTCGGTAGACCGTGAGATTCTGTGGCAGTGTCTGTCATTGAAAGGCGTACCCCAGAAGTACATAAACCTTGTAAAGGCTCTTTACTCGAAAACTACCAGTCGAGTGAGAGCTTATGGCGAACTGTCATCTGCTTTTGCAACCTCAAGTGTTGACCGTCAAGACTGTCTACCTTCTCTATTTCCGTTTAACTTCATCATAGACCTATTGATGGAAATAACATTCTCGTCGACTGAGTTCTCGGGTATTGATCTCCTACCAGGAGGTCCACTTATCGACTTAGAATACGCAGATGACATAGTCCTGTTTGGTGAAGACGCTGACAAAATGCAGAGTCTTCTGGTAGCACTGAGCAACAATGCCAGAATGTTTGGAATGCGCTTCTCTCCCTCTAAATGCAAGTTGCTGCTTCAGGACTGGTCTGCGTTAACACCTGAACTAAGGATAGGGAGTGAAGTAGTCGAACGCGTTGACAACTTCACTTATCTTGGAAGTCTGATCAGCCCTAATGGATTGGTATCGGACGAAATCTCAGCACGGATTCGAAAAGCTCGTTTGGCTTTTGCCAACTTGCGTCACCTATGGCGAAGGCGAGATATCCGTCTATCAATAAAAGGACGAGTATACTGCGCGGCAGTCCGTTCTGTTTTAATTTACGGCAGCGAAACATGGCCATTAAGAGTAGAAGACACTCGTAAGCTATTAGTATTTGACCACAGATGCCTTAGAAATATTGCTGGCGTCTGCTGGGATCACCGGGTAAGTAATAGTAAGGTTAGACGCAGGGTATTAGGGAATGATGGTAAATCAGTTGATGAGGTTATGAATCTTCATCGACTGAGATGGTTGGGCCACGTGTTACGTATGCCTGAACACCGATTACCACGACGTGCAATGCTATCCGGTATTGGAAATGGTTGGAAGAAAGTTAGGGGCGGTCAAACCAAAACGTGGCATCAGTGCTTGAAGTCACTAACTTCTAGTCTGAGCCAATTGTTGGCCACCAGCTTCCATGGGACTGAATCTGCTTATGATGCTCCACTGCCTTGTGGATCAGACTTCTAGGTCGAAGGCTCCGGGTGTGGCCACCTAAGAAAACCGTCTGCTTCGGTTTGGGCACCCGGGCAGTATCACAGCCCTCACACATATCAAATGAGATCTTTTCACTGAGTTCAATTCTAATGGGTTTTCTTGGTGTGATTTTTCTGCATCCAGTGAGGCACAAGCAAATGCGTGGTCGTATTAGAGCATGACCGGAGCTCAAACAGGTATTCCAGAACGAGTAACAATCTTCTATCGGGCCTCTCCAACGATCACTGATGACAATATGGTCTATTTGAGTCTATCGTTGGTTTGATGTAGTGGGTCGCCATGTTAGGTGATGTCTCTCCTTATGCTTAAAATTAGTGTTTGCTAAAAGTAAACGATTATCTGAGCACAGATGCAGCAGACGGTCACCATTATCTGTTCACTGTGCCGGAATACCAAAAATATCCACTTAAATATCTTTCTGTTTACTTTATCCTACCTACCTGGGCATTAAAATCACCTGCTGCATGTACTATTTCTGAGCGCTTAGTTTTATAAGGAAGTAAAAGTCATCTTTCACTTCATCCGGGCTGCAATCAATGGGAGCATAGTTAGAAACGACGAAAAGGCAACATGTTTCCCTATCCTTCCGAGTTCTTACCTAGCCGTTTATTCGAACAGCGTATAGGCGATTGTTACCATAGATCCATTCAAAGGGTGATTTTTATGCCCTCATACTTAGTGTTATGTCTACACCCGCCAGTTCACGAGAACTTGCCATCGGGTCGCCAAATACACGGAGAGTGTATCTCGTTGGCTCTCCGTTTGGGCTAAGTGAGGTCGAATGAATGACCACATTGGAATCTTATGTGTGTGTGTTTCGGAGATACAGCATACACCAATCGTATGCCATTCAATGGTCTTAGCCAGGAAGGCCCGCTTGCCGATTTGAAATGGAGTGCGTACGTTGAAGGCTCCGATGTGTAGTTTGAAGCATGGTTTTAGTAAACCTGGGACAGTGTTTCGCCCCACACCTGAGGAGGAAGTTTTAAGTTTAAATTCGAGGTAGGAGGAATAGTAGGAATTGAAGAGGGAGACTGATTATGAATTATTGATTTATTTGAACACATAAATATTAGTACAAAGAGGAACCAAATACATATGCGCCACACAAATTCCATTCGATATGTGTGAGGGCTGTGATACTGCCCGGGTGCTCAAATCGAAGCAAGCGGTTATCTTAGGCGGCCACACCCGGAGCCTTCGACCTTAAGGTCTGATCCGCAAGGTAGTGGAGCATCATAAGCAGATTCAGTCCCATGGAAGCCGGTGACTAATAATTGGTTCATAGGCCATTTGTTCATTCAGGATACTGGAGCCCATGTACACCATTGGTTTACAATCAGGGTTTTCAATTCCTGGTTGCCCACACCGTGGAAAGGCTCTCTTGGAGGTACCTGAAAAGGAAATTGTGCTGGAGGTGGTCTTTGTGATCTGAGAACGTGACCGCAGTGCCCAAGGGACAACTGCTTGAAGTTGGTCACACACGACCGTCTTGTGAGTAATTTTCGTGTTTGCTCCGTAGTTGTTGAGACCTTACCTCCTAAGACGAATATCTGTGGAATGGGGCGAGTTGTGCATTTTTAGGGTCGACCTTTTCTAACCCCATCCCTGCTTGTGGGAGGGCAGCATCGCTGTTGTGCTGGTTGTCTGAAGGAAACAACTTACTGCCACCACACCTCTGTACATTCAGCAGTACGACTTCGCCCTTGGACCTTGCGTTTGCTGTTTTTATTCTCACCGTTCTTCAACTGACATGATAGGACCTTGGGGAACGATAGTTCCAGCCAGTATAGCTCTATTGGTTCATCACGATAGGTCGACCACCACGTCAAGCGATTGTTGCATCCGTTTACATGTCTTATGTTGTTGTGTTATAAATATACCAGTTCGGTGTGGAATGCTGGTCGTTATTGTACTGCACATCATGCAGAACTTGAGAGACTCATTTGCTTAGGTCTGGTTAGATTTCACCCAAGTGGTGAAAACCTAACGTTATTCTATTTTTTTGAGACCTAATTAGGTCAGTTTCGCGCTACCTCTGAAGCATAGCCTCTCCGAGTCTAGGATATTCTACAGCTCAGTGTGCAGTTGTAGTTGTCTCAAATGGATTGCTAGCATTATATGACGATACGCACATATGTCACTGAAGTCAAGCAGTTCATATGTTGAGCTACTGGAGACCATCAGTCACTTGGTTGTGTCATCTTAAACATTTCCCAGATTATCTAGTAGCCATAAATTTTCATTGATTTTTAGACCAAGGACTATTAGCTAGTTTTGGGACTAAATAATTGTCAGTTAATAATAACTCAGCATGAGACACTGGATGTGATTATAAGGACGTATCAATGTAGTAACTTGAAACATCATCAGGTATTGCTTAGATTAGAAAACAGTCATTATCCCATCGTCATTTATGTTCTTCATAAACAGTAAGATGAGTTTGAATTGTCATTCTTTTCATTCTGGTTATGAATAAGCAGCTTTCTTGTATTTCATAAAACCACTATTATTTTGTGTAGCCCATTTAATAAGTTCGCAGTTATTCCAATAGATCTAAGTAATAATGACATAGAGGCATGTTATTTATAGGACCCTGCCCAGGGAGTCAGTGATACAGCAGTATTCGCTCAGGTCCCTTATTTCAGACCAGGTATTCAGTCTAAACAACTTAAGATCTGGCACAATGCGTACTAGGGCAAGCGAGATGGGATTAGTACGATATATAGCAAAGACTTTGAATTTGTGGTGGTTCTCATCCATGTGGAAAAAAACTAAACATGAAGAATATACTCTGAAAAGAAGCAAATCCCTAGATTGAGAATTCTAATGTGATAATAAAACCAAAAGATAATAAATTACATGTCATCTACGTTGCAACCGATTATGTACCATGTCATCCAACGTTTTCAACCACTATCTACCGAATCCCAAACAAAAGGTCTGCATATACTGACACAGACCAGACTAACATTCTATAACTCCACGATTTGATGTCATGTCTCGATCTGGTCTCCTCTAACTTTCACCCTACTCCGTCCCTTTGTCAGTGAATGTTTATGTCATCATGAACTCGCCATTTTTATCTAGTGCTCTACTTTTGATGTCAAGCACCACTCCATCATAGATGAATAACCTTCAATAGACATCTACAATCAACTACTGGTAAATCACGTATATGTTTCAAAACCATAGACGGACACAAACAACTGCTGTCTAGTGTACTTGGTCGTCATCAAGAAACTGGTATGCTCGCCTTTAACACAACTGGCCAGGGTTTCCATAGGTTAAGGGGGTTTTTAAGTATGTCGAGATATTTCCAGGTTGAGTAGAATCATTGGTGCACCAGACTATTATCCTCATTATGAAACTAAGCTCTAAAAAATCACTACTGAAGCAGCTTTTCGATTTAGAGATGAAGAAACCTATTCCAAACACTCAAGCGTTGTTACTCTGGGGATTAAAAAACAGCATTTTTCTCGTCTCCAAATTGGACTATGTGGTTCCCATACATTCTCCAAGCCGATAAGTAAGTCTCATAGTGCGTGATCGACTTCCAAAAAATTAGGTGAAGTGTCATTACTAAAAGTATATCCATAAAGAAATTAGACAACTATGAGGAACATTATCTTAATTCAGCTAAAAGTTGACCATAAGCTCTGACTCGACTAGTAGTATTCAAATGAAGAGTTCTGAGTCTGTATATGTACGTTTATGCTCTTGCTCTAAATCCCGCTGACGGGCGTGGATTCGGTCGACAAATTATTGACCAGTAATAAAACCTTATGATTCTCTTATGTTTATTGTTCTAAAGCTCTATTTAAGAGTCAAATAACTGTAGGAGCTAATATTTTAGAAATTATGTTGGTGACATCAGTTCAACTAAGGTTTTCCCTAGAGGATTTCTATTATTTCTTGTAAACTGGAACAATAAGCGATTCTGGCAGTCAAATGAGATTTTATCCAGCTCCCAAACTCTGGTAAGTACCTCAACTATTATTTTGGTGACAGTCTTGGTGCACCGTTCTCAAAGATTTCGGGATCTACCGGTCAATTTTTGGTGCCCATACTCGCTTAAAAGTGTGGTGACTTATGTCAACCCATCATTTCTGTTATATCCTATTGAAGATTAAGTTACGGATAAATTCTGAGAACTATTAATAGACTAATATTATTTACATATTATTATCGTATAACTGTTCAGTAACTAGATTATATATATATATATATATATATATATATATATATATATATATATATATAATAAGCGAGAAGGTAGTGAGCAGAACTTCTCTGGCAGTGGTTGTACGCACGCGGCCATTGAGAGCAGTTTGCGAGGGAGGGCTGACTTTCCTCACTCTCGACCGCATCAGGACATTCGAAGTCATTTATTAAACACTTGTTTACTTTTCTCTACTATCAAATCAATTTTTATTTTCAATGTATTCACAACTATATAATTATATAGATATATACATCCTTTTTTCCTCTCTTTAACAAAGGTTTCAGCTACATTTGCCGCCAGTCTTGTCAGTTCACCTGCAATTGGAGCTTATCTTGGTCGTGTATATAGTGAAGAATTAGTTGTTGCACTAGCTACTGCTATTGCATTTTTGGACATTTGTTTTATACTTGCTTGTGTACCTGAATCTTTATCGGAAAAAGTACGTATTGGTCATTTGTGCTCTGTAACTACATTGGGTGGACCAGTTGGTAAATTCTCATGGGGTAAAGCTGATCCTTTTGCGGTAAGATTATATTCTGTTTATTATGCTTTAGTACTTCTGTTATTATTATTATTATTGTTATTTCACAACCTTATATGGAGTCTTTTTTGGCAGAGATCCTAATAAAAATGGTCTCAAAACCTGTTTCCATTTCTGTTATTATTCCTTAACAGGGTATAGCTGCGAGTTTATTAAAGTGTATTCAGATTGTGTGTTTACAAACTATAGGATTTAGTGTCGAAATTCAAAATTTGATGCTAAAATGGTATGGAGCAAAGTAGGATTTCCTTCCAATCAACTTCTATCACTATCTTACATAATCGTACTATGTTAATCGTATTTATTCATGTTTATGACTGGATGAGATTTCATCGAATGAATTTATTTCTGTTTTCCATTAGGGATTTCTTGTGAACAAGGTGTTTACCAGTACTGTTAGTGGTATGTGGGCGGTTCTCATTTCTTGGATGTCCACACCATAGAAAGATACTTCTGGTTATGGTACTTGAGGAACAAACAGGATTAGTAGTGATCTTGGCGATCTGTAAGCAGAGTGTTTAAGAGATAAATGTTTGAAGTCAGTTACACACGGATTTTTGTGGTTAGTGCTTGTTATGTGTTAGCTTCTCATTTTACAAGTTTTACCCCAGCAGATGGAAATCTGTAAGGGTAAAGTGAAGTTTGCTTTTCTCATGACCGACCTTGTCTAACTCACTCCTTCCGCTGTGAGAAGGCAGCATCGCTGCACATATTGATTGTGTAAGGGAAATATCTTGCTGCCGTCAAATCCCTGTACAGTCAGTGGTTCAAATCTTTATTCCCTTAGACCTTGAGTTGCTGCCATTCCATCTTAAATATTGGGTTCATAATGTGTATAATATTTGTTGTTAAATGAATACTGTATGATCTAATTTAACATAAATTGTAGTGACGTAATAGTTCACAAAATACTACGTTTTTAACTAAGTTCAAATATATATTGCCCCCACGTACATCACTCTGGCCTGCGTCAACAGCTGAATTAAGGATAAAGAGTGAAGTAGTCGAAGGCGTCGACATCTTCACTTATCTTGGAAGTCTGATCAGCCCTTATGGGTTGGTATCTAACGAAATCTCGTTTGGCTTTTGTCAACTTACGTCACCTATGGCGAAGGCGAGATATCCGTCTATCAATTAAGGAACGAGTATACTACGTGGCAGTTTGTTCTGTTCTATTTTACGACTGCAAAACGTGGTCATTAAGAGTAGAAGATACTTGTAAGCTACTAGTACTTGACCACAGATGTCTTAGAAATATTGCTCGCATCTGCTAGGATCAACGGGCAAGTAATAATGAGGTTAGACACGGTATTAGAGAATGATGGTAAATCAGTTGATGAAGTTGTAAAACTTCATCGACTGAGATTGTTGGGCCACGTGTTGCGTATGCCTGAACACCGACTACCACGACGTGCAATGCTGACTAGTGTTGGACATGGTTGGAAGAAAGTTAGGGTTGGCCAAACCAAAACGTGGCATCAAACCTTGAAGTCACTAACTTCTAATCTGAGCCTTGTTGATAGGTGCAGACTACTTGGTTGGTGTTCGTGTGACTATCGTAACCAATGGTTAGACACGCGAACTTAGTAAATAAGTAACATTTTAAAAATAATATAATCCTATAATTTCATTCATTAGAAAGAAGTTGAAATAATTCCACATAGTGAATTTTCATTTCAACACTATCATTTACTATACAGATAAGTTTATAATCAAATCAAATTAGTATTTCACTGTATAATGAAAAGAAAATCACTCGGAAATTAAAATAACAATTATATAATGATAATGAGAAATGATCAAGTGCAAATAGATCGTAGATGAGAAGTATAATAAAAGAAATAAAAAATGATAATTGTCCACTTGATAAATACTGAAATAGACGAAACAAAAGGTGATGAAGAAAAGAGTAAGCCATTTTAAAATCATCGTAGAATAAAAGAATTCACTTAGTCATTTCATTTTTTGAACATACACACCCAAATGCCCTGGTACGGCCGAGAGTGGGGAGAATCCGCTCTCCCTCTCGAAATGCTCTCACATGGCCACTCGTATATAATCTCTGCCAGGGAAGTCCTACTCACTACATTCTCGCACGAGTGTTGTTTACAAAACTGAGAGAACGAAAAGCGAATGTCCGGCATCGGCCTTAACCGGGTTGGTGGACGCGGAGAGTCCACCTAGTGCAGTTGGAAAGCCCTGATCCCGAACAAATGGTGCACATGGGCTCCAGTATCCTGAATGAACAAATGGCCTATGAACCAATTATTAGTCACCGGCTTCCATGGGAATGTATCTCCTTACGATGCTCCACTACCTTGTGGATCAGACCTTCAGGTCGAAGGCTCGGGGAGTGGCCCCCTAAGATAACCACCTGCTTCGGTTTGGGCACCCGGGCAGTATCACAGCCCTCACACATATCGAATGGAATTTGTGTGGCACATATGTATTTGGTGCCCCTTTGTATCAATATTTATGTGATCAACTAAATAATTAATAAATAAATTCTCAAAACTTCAGCTTTGAACAGCTTTCATATTCTACTTGGATCAAATTGATAACTTTGAAAGTTACTGCTTCTGTTGAACGGAGCGCGGAGGCAGAAACTACATGATCATAATTGACGAGATGTTCCATCATCAAAACACGTTTAGGTAGAGTATAAAATAAATTGATTCGTCCACCAGATACTTGATTATAAGCTGATGATATTTCCCGGTTACCCCAACTAAAGTATATAAAATGAGGTTCGAACCTAGAACTTAGTGGTTGAAAATCGAACACCTTAACAAATTTAGCTACCACTTTATGTAGCCAACACAATGAACCTGTCCCACAAAATTAAGTAAACTGTTAGATACGTATTGAGTTAACACAGAGTGGCAGATTATCGGCTCAGCAGTCAAGAAAGGCGAGAGAAAACAATACTAAAAAGAAGTATAAAGACACTTGTATTTTTTCTCTCTGGTTAAAACAAATCAATACACCCATATGCATATATATATTAACTAGCACTGGATTTATTGATCTTTATGCGTAAACACGAAATCCATTAATTGGACAATGACATGTGAATAATATGTATCTTGGACATAAAGCAAAAAAAGGACTAAACGTACACATATGTGTAACTGTACCTATATATATATATATATATATATATATATAGTATACAGATTGACTTTTCTCAAGGTTGACTTCTACAAGACTGGCAGGATTCTAATCCTGTACTCACCCTGGACGGTGAGCAGATAGACGTAGTTGAGAAGTTCGTGTATCTGGGTAGCTGCATAAGTGCTGGTGGGGGTGTGAGTGATGAGATCAATGCACGAATAGTGAAAGCCAGAGCGGCTTATGCCAATCTGGGCCACCTTTGGTGCCTTCGTGATGTTAGTCTGGCTGTAAAAGGCCGGATCTACAACGCGTCGGTGAGAGCAGTTTTGCTCTATGCTTGTGAAACCTGGCCTCTCCGAGTTGAGGACGTTAGACGACTCTCTGTGTTCGATCATCGCTGTCTCCGAAGGATTGCTGACATTCAGTGGCAACACCATGTCAGTAATGCAGAAGTTCGGCATCGTGTGTTCGGGCACAGAGATGATAACTCAATTGGTGTCACCATCTTGAAACACCGACTTCGGTGGCTTGGACATGTTCTCCGAATGTCGCCCCAGAGAATTCCACGTCGTGCATTATTTGCCGACTCTGGGACTGGTTGGAAGAAGCGGAGAGGTGGTCAGTGCATGACATGGTGTCGTGGCATGAAAGAAAGCTGCAAAGGACTGGCTTGTGTTGGTCCTTCACGACTCCCTGGCTGGGGTCCGAGAGATGGTGCTACACAGTGGCTAGAGACGTTATCAGATATGGCTCAGAATAGAAGCCAGTGGCGATCCTGCTGTAACCTTCTTTTACTTTCTTCATAAAAGGTGGTTGTGTCTCCCTTAGCTGAAAGATTTCTTCTGATTGTACCTCTTCGTCATTACTCTCTTTTTCTTTTGCGTTTCTTGGTTTTTTTCTTTTCTTTCTACTTCTCTTCGAATTCCCATTGTTTTGTGTGGCGCATATATATTGGCGCTCTCTTGTACCAATATTTATGTGTTCGAATAAAATAAAATAAAAATTTCTCAAGGTGATTCACTGTTTTCTTTTTCAACAAATGACTGATATATATTCAATATTTAACTAAATTGACCAATTCATACATATTTCATCACCTTCAAATGAGTCTCTGTCATAGTTCTTATTTTGTAACAATTGTAAACTATGATTTAGTAGTATCATAAAGGGTTTTGTGGAGATTGTCGTAGTTAAATTCATAAGTCATTTGAAGCTAGATCACCATGGAAAACCTGGAAGCACTGGAAGGCCGTTTTGTCCTATTGTGGGACTCCTCAGCACGGCGCATTCACGACCCCGCCTCCTGGGATTCGAACCCAGGACCCATCAGTCTCGCGCGCCAGCGCTTAATCACTAGACCACTGAGCTGGTATCCAACAATGTTAATGTCTAACTTCAACCAATCCATGAAATTCAGCGACACATCCATTATTACTTTCTATTACATTTTCTGGTAATTTAATTAGTATACCATTATATATATTATTATTATTTTAACACATAGATATTGGTACAAGGAGGCACCAAATACATATACGCCACACAAATCTCATTCGATATGTGTGAGGGCTGTGATACTGCCCGGGTGCCCAAACCGAAGCAGGTGGTTATCTTAAGGGGCCACTCCCCGAGCCTTCGACCTGAAGGTCTGATCCACAAGGTAGTGGAGCATCATAAGCAGATTCAGTCCCATGGAAGCCGGTGACTAATAATTGGTCCATAGGCCATATGTTCATTCAGGATACTGGAGCCCATGTGCACCATTGGTTTGGAATCCGATTAAAGCACCGGACATTCGCTTTTCGTCCTCTCATTTTCGTAAACAACACCCCCGCCACGAGAATGTAGTGAATAGGACTTCCCTGGCAGAGGCTATATACGCGTGGCCATTTAAGAGCATTTCGAGAAAGTGAGAAGCGCCTCCGTATTATACTATTAAAGCTCTCAAGCTCTAGGAAAAGATAAGAACTAAATATTATCTATCTTAAGAGGATTGATTTTTATTGAACTTGTTTTCAACAGTTACGAAATGAACATCATTTCACTGACAATTGAATATTATCATCCAACTGTTGTTTTTTTATTTTGATGAAGTTTTATTGTCTAAGCTGGTTGGTTTAGTCGTAGAGTATTCATCGTTCTTCTGAACAATATCATCATCATTAGTAGCAGCACAAACTTCAGATAGTAGTGTCGATGTCATCAATCGTTAAGCTTTATGTATTATAGCTTAGAAGGATGAGTTTTTCCGTTATTATTATTATTATTATTATTATTATTATTATTATTATTATTATTATTATTATTATTATTATTATTGTGTCAAAATGCACAAATAAACTTTTTTAATATGAACAATGTGAACACTCAAACTCTGATTCGTTTGTTTTGACATAAAGTTCACATTAGTTTAAAGCATGAACTAATATCATTTAAATAATTATTCTACAGTTTCATTATTATTTTTCTTTTCTTCCTCCCTTCCCTCTCCCTTTCTCTCTCTCTCTCTCTCTCTCTTAGATATTACAATAAATTAAAGTCAAATGATTGACACATTAATATTCATGTTTAATTGACTTAATTTTCAAAATTCTCGCCCCATTTTTTGTTGTTGTTTTTGTAATCGATTATTTAAACAATCACAATCACCACAACAACAAAAGAAAAATACCCATTGAAATTTTCACATTTTACAATTCGATATATTAAAAAATAATATAAATCATGAAGGAAAAAGAAAGTGCCGAAGAAAACTATTGTTGATTTTTGTATTATATAAACAGTGTAATGTATCTGATTACTTACGCCTGTTACTCTTTGTGGAGGAGCATAGACCACCCACTAGCATTCCCATCCAACTTTATCCTGGGTAATCCTTTCCAGCTCTTTCCAGTTATTATTCATCCTTTTCATATCTATTTCGATTTCCCAATGTAGTGTGCTCTTTAGCTTTCCTCTTTTCTGATTCCCTTCAGGATTTCAAGTTAGGGTTTGCTTCGTGATGCAATTTGATGATTTTCGTAACATATACCCTATCCATTTCCATTGTCTTTTTTTAATTTCCTCTTCAGCTGAAAGCTGGGTTGTTCTCTCCCACAAAAGGCTGTTGCTGATAGTATCCGGCCAATGGATGTTGTGTATCTTGCATAGACAGCTATTTATAAACTCTTGTACCTTCTTTATGATGGTTGTAGTGGTTCTCCAAGTTTCAGCTCCGTACAGTAGAACTGTCTTGACGTTCGTATTGATGATTCTAACTTTGATATTGGTTGACACCTGATTAACTTATTACTAAAGTTATAAACTAACTTTAGCCAGACAATTGTTGTGAAGCAAAAATAGTGTAGAGTGCTTTTATTAAATTTCATTATATGGCCACCATCAGACCCAACGGTGAACATGGTATTTCTTTAGTTAGCTAAATTAGCAGATGGCTATCAGTATTCAGTAGCTAACTAGATAACGCGATTGTGTTTGAGGCGAACGGTACTGGGTTGAGTCCAGGAGCGAACATCAACTCGGGGATGCAGGTACATTCAGCTGACGAGTCCCAAATAGGACGAAACGCACGTCAAACTGGATTCCACTGCTAGCCTCTATCCATCTTTGCCGAATTATCATACTATGGTTTATATTTTCAATTTCAGATAGTTCGCATTATTTCATGATCATCATCATATTCCCACAGGATGATATTTCTCGTAATCCTGAAATATTCGAACCCCATTGGTTGCTATTTCTCTTCTTACACCTTCAGCAATCCTTTTCATATTTATTCATTATGGAGAATATTTGCTTATTTATTGGTTTATGGTGTAAATTACAAATTGAACAAGTTTCATTAAACCATATATGTTGACCTCGGCGATGGATGATTAATTTAGTTGGGAAGTTTTCATGGCAACACTATAATTTACGGACGACCTTTAAGCAACAATAAAACAACCATGAGAATATTCACTTACCTAATAGGTTTTTAAGAGGGTTACAGATTAGTACGGGGAATTATGATTAAGATTTAGAAGGTTAGGGTTTTTATTACCAGTAGATATCAGCTATAATGCCAAAATGCTATCTAATCGTAAGGATGAATGAATTTCTCGCCAAAATCCAAAACTTGCCATCTTAAATCGGATTGGTTCGTCCATAAATTGTAGTCTTGCCGTTTTCATTTACATTTTGAACACGGCATCATTAGTGCATTAATACGAAATTCTAATTGCTCACTTCTCATCAAAGTACGTGCTAATGATGTCGTGTCCAGAAGAACAATGACAGTTTCATAACCAAGCCAACCAACCAGTTCAAAGAACACAACACCTCCAATAATGGGTGTTTTCCTTAAATTTACGTGTTACTTACTTATATATCTATGTAAATGCTTGATGGTTAATTGTTTTCTGTATGGGTTTTTAATTGTATAATGTTTTTTTTGTGTTCATATCTTGTTTATCTATTCTACAGACATTACGTCAAATGACAAATGATCATCTTGTTCTTATGATATGTATTACAACATTTTTATCCTATTTGCCAGAAGCTGGACAATATTCATGTTTCTTCGTTTATCTTCGCTTAGTAAGTATATATATGGAAGATATTTTATCGTTATTTTCTTACTATGGAGTCTGAAATGGTTATTGAATCGTTAAGATATTTAGTTGAGTCCTAGGTTCGAACTCTGTCCCACGACATAGTAAATATCACTAGTCCTCACAATTAAAGTGTGACTTGATGCTAAGTATACTGATTTTTATTTGGTAAATTAATTAAAAAATAAAGATATCAAATCTGAATTCAAGAACCCTGTCCCAGGACTCAAATTTTGAATAATTAAGCGCATATATTGTGAATCGTTATACGAAATTAGTGTAACCTTATAATTTATTGTATACATCTACATATTGTACCGACTTTTTACGTCTTTTCAATCGTCTGATTTTCTGTTCTATCAAATATGGATCGATAGTCAGCAGTTAATTAGGCATATACAACGTATAACCTGCCACTTGTGTGTATCGACTCAAGTTGTCACACCACATTAGCACAATGAGATTCCAGAGTAATATAAGAAGGGACAGTATTAGTGATAGTAGAGAGATTATATGTAGAAGATATGATTGGGAAAGAAAATATTGAAAATTAGGACCATTGGAAGAAAAAAAGTGAATATAACCGAGTCATCATGAACAATTCCAAGGCTTGTCACTCAAAGCTTACAAACTTGGTTATGATAGTTGCTCAGACTAACCAAATAATCTGCACCTACTTACATGGTTCAGTTCAACAGTCAATGAATTGATTGACTGATTTCATCCTGTAGCTTAATCATCCCTAGCTTTCCTTTATCTTAGTCCTTAACTAGCTATCACTGCTCATCAAGGTCGACGGTGGTTGGACATACGTAATACTCGCTCCAACCACTATCTCAGCTGATAAAAATTCGTTGCCTCATCGATCCCAACTCATACGAGCAAACAGTTCAATGATATACTAGTAACGTACGAATATCCTGCATTTTTAAAGTTCACGTCTCACAACCATCGATGGTAGAATAAATCTTAAGTTAAATAATTACCTTATGTAACGTTTTCGTCATAAAATAGAAAATATTCAATAATAAGAAGTGTAGATGTTATCTGAATTCAATTACGACACTGTCACTAGATTTCAAATCCAATATCGTTAATTACATGATAAAATTGACTTTGTAGATACTTCATAAACAAGTTTGTAACTATGGATATTCCTTGCTCTTACAATCAATCACTTCATTCTAATATAATTGTATAAGAGTTTTCAACTCATTTTAATGTCTTGCAATATAGATTGTGTCTATTGTTTGTTTCATGCATTATTAGTCAATGAATTTGTTAAACAATAATAATATGATACATTGACAATGATTGTACTGTAAATATACACAAATTGTTTACGATAACACCAAGCAATTTAAGTGTAATACAATTATAGACAAACTATATACATGTTTTAGTTCATCATTATTGTCATTTTCATTCTTTCTTTGTAAATAAATAAGCAACATTTATATCGTAAACAACTTGGTTACTATCGATCAATAGTGTGTTTATCTTTTACAAACATTTTTTATAGAATTATAATCACTGTTTTTTTTTGGTTGCGTTCTTTTTTTTCTTCTAAAATGATAAATCCAATTGCCAGCTTTGTCAATAGAGTATCGTTTGTGTTGTTTGTCTTTGTTATTAAGTTATTTTTTTCGCTAGAATCCTTCTAGGGTTACTATCAGTTTCAAGTTCGGATAGAAAAGGAGGGTCGGGTATAGGATCAGCATCCCCATTCTGTAGAAAACAACCTTGCTAAAAAAAAATGCTAACCAGAATAAGCAAATTAAACCATTTAAACTATGCTATTCGAGTTGAAGGATCTTTATTCAGAAGTATTATGACGATGTCTCATGGTGGAAGCCGAGATTCTTCGAAAGTTTCAAAGTCGATACCCATTTCTGATAGCCAGAGCAACAATTAATATTGGTACATGAAATGTCCAAAAAATGTTGGAGACTGATAGGATCAGTCAAATAGCTGCGAAAATGAGAAAATGCAACCTGTTGGTGCTCGGAATAAGTGAAACCCATTAGATGCAAGCTGGACAAAAACAGTTTCGGGAAAGATGGGTTTGTACTCTGGCCATGGAAAAAATAAGATGCTCCGCACGCGCAGGAAGTTGCTCTCATTCTGTCCAAAGTAGCACGTAAAGCACTTATTGGGCGGGAATCTTATGGATCCAGAATCATCCAAGTATCTTTCAAAACAAAAAAAGGCAATCACAATGAATTTTATCCAATGTCATACACATACGAATGATTGAAAAAACGACGATTAAAAAAAGTTTTACGAGGGACTGCAATCAACCATAACGAACTGCTCAGGAAAGGACCTGACAACGCTAAAGTCGAAATAGACAACATCGGGTATGAATATATCATAGGCCATATGGACTAGGAGAAGGAAACGAGAATGGTGAGAGACTTGGAAATTTATGTGCATCCAACAAAATGGTTATAGGTGGCACAATATTCTCCCACAAATGCACAAATAAAGCTACATGGCTCTCACCAGATCACACTAGAAAGAATCAGACTGATCATATTTACATCACTGAAAAATTCAAAAGGTCAATGGAAGATGTGAGAACCAGGAAAGGAACTGACATAGCCTCATACCACCACGTGGTACTTGCTAAGATGTAACAATCTAAAGAAGTACTGGACAAACAGCATTACTTCGAGATACTGACAAACTCAACAGGTCCAAAGCCTTACAAAATCTACTGGAAGAAGAAACTACAATAGAGAACAACTGGAAAGGGATTAAAGAAATATTAACTTCAGCGTCCCAGGATGTGGTTGGCCTCAAAACGCATCATCACAGGGAATGGATCTCTATCGACACCTTGGACAGAATCCAAGAGAGGAAAATCAAGAAGACAGCAGTTAACAACAGTCTAACAAGATAAGAGAAAACCAAGATATCTCTTTATCCCAGTGTCACCACTGATACCAGGATTCGAACCCAGTATCATTAATTGCAAATGACAGCCCATTGGTCATGGAATCGCTTAATCCGGATAGCTACTAGCTTGTGCAACTAGCATTAGTTGTATTTATAACAGTTTGTATTTCTTCATAATTGATAGTAAGAACGGCTACTAATTATTATCCATTGGCATTCATGGATCCTAAGCGGATAGTCTTGATATTGCCATTTAGTGACAACTTTTTAAATAGATTTTCATTCTGGTTAGCTGTAGAATCCGCGAAGCAAGTTTTGTCCTATCCGAGACTGGTCGACTGAATATGCGTGCATGCTAATGTTAATGTTAGCACTGGATTTCAAATTTACTAACTCTCACTTCAAAAGCCCAACATGTTATCCACTGGACTATACAAGCCCTAACAAACAACCAGATGATATTAAAGTGCTCCAATAACCGGTAGTAGGTATACAATTCTATTCAGAAAATTTCACATTGCATCCACATCAGGGATACCGAAGAGATGGTCAGTAGTGTTATATTTTATACTTCAAATTAATCGTGCTGTTCTTTCTAATGAAAATAATAGGTCATGGGATTCACTGAAGAAAATGTGGCACTATTCATTGCTGTTGTTGGTATCATGTCATGTATTGCACAAGTAAGTATAATTTCCTCCCTTATTATAATAAATTGTAATGTTTTTATGGCCATAGAATTACAAGTACTATTGAGAAGTAGTAACTAACCATCAAGATATGACTTATGTTTAGCCAATCTAGTCAGTTGATGTGATTGCGAATCTTCATCGCTTGAAATGTCTAAGATATGTACTACATATGCTCAATCATCATCTACGTCGACTTAGAGTGTAAGGGTGGATTGACAGGAAACTAGGTTTGGTCAAACCTCACATGTGGAATCATTCCCTGAAGCCACTCACTGTTTTTTTTTCGAGACATATTATCAGCTGAAGACTACCTTTTTGCGATTGTCGCGACTATTTTGATCAATATTTAAGGTCGTGGTTTACAGAGGTTTAGAAACAAGCCTTAATAGTGTATATGTATTTTATCTTCGTCTTTTTGTAGATTTTGTTTTTCTCAGTATACGTACATACCTTTTCATTCCGTCTTATCAAACCATACTCCTTGTATTCAATCTTCCTCATTATCATTCTAACCACGTTACTTCAACTTCTTTACTTTTCGTCTCTTCATACTGATGTTATGTATTATGACCTGGACTAACTCCTATCTTATTATGGTTGTCTGCAAATAAAACGAAATACATTATCCAGAGTTAACATTAACTCTGAGATTCAGGTACATCAAACTGACAAGTCTCAAATAGGATGAAACGCGCGTCCTAGATTCCACTGCTAGCCAATATCCATCATTGCTTACAATTAGCTTGTGAATTAAGGTAATATCGAGGCAATACACACAGTATGCACATATACCAATAACAGATGGATCAATTGCAGTCTTAAACATCAATGGGAAGATTCAAGGGAAAAAAAACAATACAAAGTGAATTTACATTATCCATTGTTTCGTAATTAGTCTTTACTTTATAAGAAGAAGACTTCTATAGAGTTGTTGATAAGAATTTATCAATACTTTAAGCATATCAATAAATGTATTTATATTCAATTATAAAAATTTTCATAATGATTCATATTTATGTATTTGTTATCTGTTTAATAATAAGTACATAATAATCGTACCATATTTGTACTAATTAAGTGGTTCAACAATATGTGACTGTGTCTATCATTACCTGTACAACAACAATAATATGTAATATCCTGTTACAGCTTCACTCTTTCTGTCGCGCTCTCTCTCTCTCTCTCTCACACACACACACACTCATGTTGCATCCGCACAGAAAATGTATTCAATGAATGTATGAGCAAGCGATTAAGTGAGTGATTGAAGAAAATAAGAGATTAGTAGTAACAAAGTGTTGAAAATAAACAAATTGAATCTAAAATATACATTATTGTTTTTTATTGCTACTATTGATTGAATTTGAGTCATGAAGATGAAGAAGCAATAAAAGAAGGATTTTGTCATTATTATCATCATCATCATATTCTTATAATAATAGTATAATGATCCGATTGATTCTGAATATTGTTTATATAGTTATTATTATTTATCGTACCTGGACTATATTTTGTTTACTCTGTAACTATTTGTACTAGTAATTAAAGAAAAATGTATTCTCAATGGTTAAGATCATGAGTCAGTTAAAGCTAGACTATCTGGTTGTGGACCGCGAGATGATAGCAACCGATGGTTAGAGACCCTGAATGACATGGCTCAAAATCGTTTGCAATGACGCAGGTGCATCCACTCTTTGTGTTCTCCCAAATTCTAATCTCCTGAATCCTTCTTGTCTGTTTTTTTTCTCTTCCCAAATTTATTTCACTGGATTATACTCTTTAAATAACATCTCCAAACCCTAATCTTCCCGATTACTGCTTATACTCTTACTACCTCTACCACTACGGGATTTGAATCGATAACTGCATCTCTGTGCTAATGTGGTATGGCAACTCGAACTGATGTACGTACGTACGAAGTTCTACGTTGTTACTGACTGACTGAAGCTAGACCACCATAGAAAACCTGAAAGAACTGGACGGCCGTTTCGTCCTATTGTAGGGCTCCTCAGCAGTGCGCATCCATGATCTCGCCCCCTGCGAGATTCCAACCCAGGACCTACTGGTTTTGCGCGCGAACATTTAACCACTAGACCCCTGAGCCGGTATCCAACGGTGTCAATGTCTAACTTCAACTAATTCACGAAATTGAGCGACACATTCACCATTGTCTTCTTCTGTGAGTTACTATCTTACAACAGACCTGGTTGAACTCCAATGGTCACTACCTCTCACTAGAACTCCAAGACATACCTCGTCAAACCAGTCACTAGTGAGCATATGTTGATTAATATCAGATGGTGGTCTAGCTTCAACTAACTCATGATCTTAACCATTGAAAAATGTATTCATTTAGGGTATTTGTGTGTGTGTGTGTTTTTCTCAATCTATCTCATCTTAATAAATATGATTGTTATAGAATAAATCACTAATATGGTACGATTTTATTTTATTTTATTTCTAAGACTTTGTTAGAAGTTTTATGGTGTTACATTATGAATTGGCTATTTGTTCTAATCTTATAGATCTCTTAATTGAATCACGTGAGGTTATACTCCACTAATACAAGTATGCTTTATACTGATCAGACTAAATTGTTCTTCATTTTAACCAATGACCCAATTTGATTAACAACAAATAAACTTGAACAATAATTGCACAAAAAACACCCTTACTCCAAGATTAAACTTCCATCTATCCTGATAGTAGTAGTAGTAGTAGTAGTTAATCATGAGTTGAATACACCAAGTACATAAAACCCTATATATTCATAAATCCATATACATTACTAATTGCTTGATTACAAAGCGCTACAAATAAGAAATCATGGTTTACACAATAGTTAAATTATAATGTAGTAACTGTTTAATTGAATTCTTCAAATAATTACTTTGATTATTAAAATCTTTTGTTTCTTCTAATTATTCACTATTATTTTATAATCAATATGACATTATATATAATTATGTTACATAACTACTCCTCCTAAAGTATTTCATTGTTGTAAATCATACAAGAGATATTTCCTGGAGTTTTAATGAGAAGCAGTAACCAGTAGAGTTCAACTGAGTCTGTTGTAAGATAATAACTCACTGGAGACAATGGTAGATGTATCGCTCAATTTCGTGGATTAATTGAAATTAGTTATTAACATCGTTGGATACCGGTACACTGGTCTAATAGTTAGGCGCTGATATGTCCTAGATTCGAATCTCACGAGGCGGGATCGTGGATGCACACTTCTGAGACGTCCCACATTAGGACGAAACGGTTGTCCAGTGCTTCCATGGTGGTCTAGCTTTAATTGACTTATGATCTCAACTACTAAAATCATATATATGTTAGTGTAAAAGTCATAATGAAGGACTAATCTTAAAAAAAGTGTCTTTGTTCTATTCGTTCTTCTTTTTACAATGCATTTCAAAGTGAGAACTTTCACTATAAACTTTAAGTAATGCAAACTTGAGCAATCGGTCCGTAATTAATTCACAATAATTTATGATAAATAATCACGTATTTAAAATCTAAGCTCTTATATTTGTACCGATTTCCTGGATGGCAAATCAATTGATGAAGTAATGAAACTTCATTAGTTAGGATGGATGGGATATGTGTTGCGTATGCCCAACCACCGACTATCCTGATGTGCGATGTTTTATGATGTAGGAGTAGATTGTAAGAAAGGTAGGGGCTGACAGACCAAAACATGATACAAATCTATAAAGTCACTAACAAGCGAACTGGGCCATGTTGGTTGGGATCTGCGAGACGATAGTGGATGATGGTTAGAGACCTTGAATGACATAACTCAAAATCGTTTGCAATGGCGCAGGCTAATCTACTCTTTGTGTTCTCCCAAATTCTAATCTTCTGAATTCTTCATGTCCCTTTATTTTTTCTCTTTCCAAATTTATTTCACTGTATTATACTCCTTGAATAACATCTTCAAACCCTAATGCTTCCGACTACTGTTTATACTTTTACTACCTCTACCACTACGGGATTTGAATAGACAACTGCATCTCTGTGCTGTTGTGCATATGTACGAAGTTCTACGTTGTTACTGACTGACCGACCGATTTCCTGCATACTTTTCATTCTTCTATCTCATTTGTTGAATGTTTCATTCCTATGTTGAGCCTTACAATTTTATTCTTTCTCCGTTTTTCTGTGAACTGCAAATGTCACAAGTTATACCGATACTCATTTATGTTATATCATAAATTGTCTATAATCAATTGACTAAACTACTTAATATTATCGACATTAAAGTATAAACTACATCATCATAATATTAGCAATGTTGAACACTTTTGTTCATTGTTCCGTAATCATATCCAATCTTCTCTATTATCTGTATTTCTATTTCAATTTCTTTATTGTTATTTTATGCTTTGTGTGTGTGTGTGTGTGTATGAAAGAGGGAGTGAGAGAGAGAGAGAGAAAGCCTATGTGTATCACCAATTTTTCGATATGGATATATGTTACTCGATTTGTATTACATACACTGTATAGGTACTAAAATCAAAACACATGTAATTCAGTGCATATAACATATAATTTTGTAGTCGACATAACTCATTTCAATTGTAGAGTATTTAAACAAACCGAAAAATAAAAACAAATCAAGTACAATCTAACTGTTAATTTATTTCGTTGGTGTTTCATACTTAAGATTGTTGTCGATTTGATCATTTTAATATTTTTCGAACTACTCATTTGTTAATTGAACATTTGAATCAGCCTTACCTTTAATTGAATCAGTGTAAAGTTCTTGTTGGAAGAGTCTAGGGATAAACTTTACATTGTCAAATCAATCTAAGTATATTGTAGTCAGTAATCACGGTTATATTTTCGTTTATTCAATCATTAAATTGTAAATATTTTAAATAATTTCCATTGTAGAATTAATTGGAAGTTTGGCTTTGTCTGTGTTGTAATTTTTCTCCCATCATGGCTGACTGACTGCCCTACATGTCCGTAGCATAATAGAGTGGTATTTTCGTCGTAGAAAACTACATTTTACATATAATAAAACACTCCTTCTATCATGGATTAGGACAATGTAAATAAAAATTTTCGCTTCATTTTAATTGATCGCCAAGATCAAGTTTGAAATTACGTACAAAAGTAGAGTTTATCTTCACTCTTGTAAGAGGATTGTAAAGATTTTTTCATACTGTTTGCCTGAACCAATAGTCGTTAACAGAAAGCCATTGATACAAAATTTACATTCAAAGCAAAGCCGCAAAATGCCCTGGTACGGTCCAGGATGGGGGAGATTCAGCTCTCCCTCTCGAAATGCTCTTACAGCCACTTTCAGCGAATTTCCGCTCACTGCTTTCTCACGGTGAGGTTTTTGTTTACGAAATAGAGAGGACGAAGAGCAAATATCCAGTGCTTTAACCGAGTTGGTGGATATAGAGGGTCCACGTAGGGGAGTTGGAAAACCCTGATTCCAAACCAATGGTGTTCATGGACTCCAGGTTTGTGAAGGAACAAATGGAGTATGAACCTATTGTTGGTCAGCTGCTATCACGCGTTCGCGTCTCCTAACGTTGCTCCACTCCTTTGTGGATTAGACCTATCTGTTAAAAGCTCGGGGTGGCCTCCTAAGAAAACTACCTGTTTCGGTCTGGACACCTGGGCAGTAATCCAGCCCTCACACACATCGAATTACAAAGTGTGGTACACACATAATTGATGCCTCTATATACCAATGTTTATGTGCCCAAATGAATAAATCAAGGCAAAATAATCCAATACTCGGAATAGATCATACAACTGCTCTCCTGTAATTACACTTCAATCACACAGGCCTCACTATAAATCGATCATATATCATTTTCCCATCATATCTGTAAAACATATCCTATCCATCTCACTCGTTGAGGATTCTCTACCTCGTTAACCGATTTGACTTAATTGCATAGATATTCATATGCCTGAAGGTATAAGTTTGAATGTTGGCTTAGTGGTTTAGTCGTTTGACTTCCAATCACTAGGCCTTAGATTCCAATTGCGCTTCCCTTACTTTGGTTCCAGTCAGTCAAATGTAGGTAACATAGAACCTCGTTCATGTGTACATTGGTTTATGTTTCCGCATAACAGCGAGATGAAATTGTCGGTGGAAATCCCAGAGTAATAAATGTAGTAAAAATATTATTGGTCTTTGGACTTTGGTTATACGATTCGAGAAGAAAATATAAATTAATCAGATAATAAGAAATTTATCGCAGTTTTAGAAACTTAAGATTTGAAGGAAGACAAATAGTGAATGCACTGTACGATTGCGAATGATTTAGAACCATAGCACTCAACGTTCCTAACCAGTCGTTATGATAGTCACGTGGACACGTAACCAGGTAGTCTACACCTATGTACATGACCAAGTCCCAGCAGTCAGTGTCTCCATGGTCTGATACCATGTTTTCATTTGCCTGATTGTACCTTTCTTCTAACTTCTACTTCGATTTGCACAACTAGTTAGTATCAATAGCCTTCGTAATTTGTGTATGACACATGTCAAACTACTTGATAAATGAGTTAATCTATTTTTCTGTTGTTTTTTTTTCTTTTCTATATTAACAGACACTTATTTTATCTTTATTAAATCGTATTATGCGACCAAAACGTGTTATTATATTTGGTTTAATATTTGAAGCAATTCAATTAACATTATATGGTTTTGTTACAAATTCTGGCTTATTATGGTCAGCTGGTTTAATTGCTGCTACGGGCTCTATCACATATCCTGCTCTAAGTACATTTATATCAACTCATGCTGCAGCAGATCAACAAGGTGTAGCACAAGTAAGTCAATTATTATTGATTATTATCAGATTCTGACTAAATATAAAGTTTTCCATTATCATGATTTGATTACATTCACTGATATAAAGTATTCGAGTTTCAGCCATCAAGTCCTAGGTTTGGACCCCACTCCGTCTATTTTGGTTTCAGTAATCGAGTAATATAGTACCTACGATGCCGGGTCACTTAGATTGGTGGCCACATTTTAACTTTATTGATATAATTCGATTCGTACATGACATTGGTCACTACCCAGTGATCAATCGGTTGTGAACACATCTCAATCTTACAGGAGGTGGTAACGCCTCTGACTGTGAAGCTATGGGACAAAGGATCAAGTCCTAAAAGATGCAAAAATGTGTTAAGAGGTAAATCTTATCTATTTTTGAATGCAGTCACTAGGTAATTAACGAAAAATGTCCGCGGGAATTATTGTGAATGCTTTACTTCGAATCCTAGTGTAGAGGTATAGAAAACAAGGGTATCTTTAAGATTGTATATGATTTTAAAATCGTAGATCTTTTTGGCAAACATGAAAAAAATTAGTAGTAAATCGATAGTTTTTCAGTCGGGACAATAAAGAAAATCATTCGTTTCTTAGAATTGTATTTGAAGTTTAAAACGAACACCGATCACTCGATGTATTATCTGCATTTTCATGGTTTCTAAGAACGCTTTCGAGGAATTATCATCGAAGTCAGTGAGCTCAACCTTTAGACAGACTGTATTTCTCCATATCTAACATTACCGTGATAATTATGCAATAAGCATCAATGTGTAATTGTCCTCATTCCGACCTTCTTGAGATAGTTGGATCGCCTAACAGTCACAGTTGAATTCGGGTATCTATCAACAACGTTTTCTTTAACTTAAAATCTGAGTTAATTCACTATGCTCTTTGTAATTGTCAGGGTCTTATCACTGGAATACGAGGTTTATGCAACGGACTTGGACCTGCTCTTTTTGGGTTATTCTTTTATATATTTCGAGTAAGTTGTTTAAATTGTTGAGTTTTTTTTAACAAACTAAATTACATTCTATTCATTGAACCAAGTATAGTAAACCACTTAATAATTTTGTAAAATTTATTGGACTGAAGTGATTTGGACATGTATTACATATGACCTACCAGTGTCTACTTCAATGAACTATGTTTGCTAATGCAGAGATAAGTAATTTGAGAAAAAGCTAGTGGTGATTAATCGAAAAAGATGTGACTAATTCCTGAAGTAATTAATGGTTGGTCTAAGGCAGTTATGTGAATGCAGACTACCTGGTTGAGGACTTTGAGTTAGAACCAAAGTATCTACTCTTTTTTCCTCCATTAAATCTTGAATTCCCCTGTTTCTTCGTTCATACATTTTTATCACGTCTTCTAGAACCATATTGTCAATGCCTAGCCTTTCACCATCATTAAACATCAAAATTATATCGATGCCTATGTTATTGATCCTGCTAATTTCATTTCACCATACTAATATGGCACCACAGTTTCTTGGACGAACGCATATATTATCCCACGTTCCACATTAACAACCACTTGATACATTGAATAATTTATGTAAACCACATCCCAATATACAGCTATGATCAGATTGATTCAACAAAAGAGAAGTGACATTTAAGGAAGTATATATGAGTATACCATTTAAAAAGAGATATATAATCCGCAAATTGTGTTTAACTGAATAATGATGTGGAGTGTTTCATCAGTACAACAACATTACATCGTTATTGACGAAATACATGTCGTTTTAATAATAAATATTGTAAACAATGAACTGTTATTACTAAGTAGTGTATATAAAACATTGATATCTTAAGTGTGTGTGTGTGGAGTATACCTACAAAGTTATGTTTTAAAATGTTACAAAATACCACACCTTTTCTTTGAACGGGTAAATACATGAGAAAAATTTATCCATTGTAGTGCAATTTTACATTTAACATCACTTTCGTGATCATTATTAGTGATTTTTTTAATTGTTGCTATGCGTTTAATTTGTGACCCAACCATACCATGTTGCATCATGCTCAGATATTTTATTGATTTTCTGATTGTTGCCCAGTCAGTCAAATATGATATAGAATCTTGGTACATATGTGCATCAGTTCAAGTTGCCACACTACATTAGCAGAGAAAGATGAAATTACTTCGAGACAAATCTCAGAATAGTAGGAAAGATTGAATACAGAAACAAAAGTATGATGAGATTTCGAGACTCAAGATCTAAAAGAATACATAATGTGAATCCACGTGAGCTATCGAGAACGTTTCTGAGCGATTTCATCTCAGATCTCTAACCATTGACTACAATAATCACACGGACTCCTAATCAGGTAGTCTGCATCTACTTAAATCACCCAATCCACTTATTAGTCACTTCATGGACTGATGCCATATCTTTGTATGGCCACTCTTAGCTTTCTTTAAACCTACTTCTATGCCAAATAAAATCACCCATCGAGGTAGGCGGTGGTTGGTCTTATGTAACACATCCATTCAGATTCATTACTACATCTACCAATTTGCTATCTTTTCTAAGTGTTTCTAGCTCTACTTGACTCAGCATTATAAAATCCAGTATTTTCTTGGTTATTAGAAGACTGTTGAATGTTGACTTTCCTGAATAGATAAAGTGTGTGAGTGTTAGCCTATGTTTCCCTTACTTTGGAGCAATCACTTTTTCAATAATGTGTTGTATTGTGTTTTTTTTTGTTGAGTTAATGATTGTTTGTAAAATTTTCATTCTTGGTCTATGAACAATGGTATTCATCAAATGAGCTTGGTTATTCACGAAAAATATCCAAAGTATATATATGGACCATAACTACTGCTTATGTATTTCGCTTCGTCTCGTTGATATTTTTATTATAAACACTCTTCAATGAATAAACTTCTCTTTCAATATTACAGATAAAAATCTTTTCTATTTCATAACCAGACTAATTGATGCATTTTTCCACTAGAAAATAATACTATTCTATCTAATTATGTTTAGGTCAAGTTAAATTTGTGACCTAGTCTGTGTTATTCTCTTTCTTGCGCTCTATAAAGATTGACTTACTTATTATATAATCGATCATTTTTGTGCTACTTGTTTCTCTCAATGTCTGTGTATCAGTTTCAGCGTGTGTGTTTTTTGTGTATTACTTTATTGGTATCATTTTTAATTTAGATAGATTGTGCCTTCTCAAAGATTATTCTATTAGAATGTAGAAAATTATGGAGTCTATTGTCGACTATTTTCCCTTTCAAGTACAAATACTGTGTTCACTTGACTTTGAACAGTACTTTTCATGTATAAATGGTTAGGGATAGGGATTGGTTACCTCTAGTCTGTAATCGGTATGTTGGGATTCGAGCCTGGTAGAATGCTGATTACTAATTTCCTATTGTTCCACCAGCTTTGTTATTACGATACGAATCTGCTCAAGTCACCTCTTTCCATGTATGTGTAAGAGAGAGTTAGTTTCAAACTATTCAAATATCAAAAGTAAGATAAGTATAGTGAGATTCGTATATACAGTTCGGATATAATCGATTGTGTACACTGTAAACTAACATAAATATTATGTATTTTGTAAAGTTGTTTGTAATTATTTACTTCTTGTTTTTCAATGGCGTTCTCCTGTCTGTGTGTGGTATACAGGTATTTCACTCTTGGAATAGATGAAGTTTTATTTTTTTCAAGACGACTGGTAATCTTTTAGAAAAAGGTCGAATATATGATCTAATGCTTCAATCCTACTATGTAAGCTGACAAGCTATTGTGGGGATATTTTTCTTACTATTCACCTATCTTAATCCACCTTCCTTATTCTCCTGTCTGAATTTATTCGAATACATTTGTATTAGCATGAGTCGTCAGCATGTTTGTCTGAATTTCGACATTCAATTTCTTTGCACAGTTTGTATACCTGATCGAGTGGTTAGTCAAGCGTTTAGAGCGTGATAATGAATAAATCGATTCATAGGTAGTCATTATCAATGTAGAGTCCGGCAAAAATGTACGTTAGTTCAAGTTGCCATACTATATTAGCACAAAGATATGAACAGCAAAGGAGATCTAAATAATGTAGTAACAACAATAATGAGAACGGGTCAATATTGGAAATATGGTTTTAAAAAATGGTTGGTTGTTATGCATGAAGAAATACTGGAATTGTGCATGGAGATGAAAATAAAGAGTAAATACTTCTGTTCCATGTCATCAAGGCTCTCCAACTATTGATCTCAACCAGATAGTCTACATCTACTAACATAACTGAGATAATGACTTCACGAACTGATACAATATCTTCTTTTAACTACCTCTAACAACTGAGCGTAAAAAATATTACATAATGAGTATAAGAACTTGCATCTAAATTTGATCGAATAATTTCACAGTATTTGGTTGCCAAATGTATTTGAGACATTAAGGTGAAAGAATGTCGTTTTAAAATCTCAGAGAATGGATTTAAAGTAAATCGAACGTTTCGTTTGATAATCTGGTCTAAGCTTTTTCAAGGTAATATCATCAAAATGATCGAATGTAAATAGGTATATACTTCTCTGGTTAATTATATTACTAAATAGGTCATCTAATCACACTATATATCTCTTACACATTAAAACTAATATGTACTTTAAATACTGTTAACATTGATTGGATGACCTATTTAATATACAATTAACCAGAGAAGTATATACTTATTTACATTCGATCATTTTGATTACATTTCCTTGAAAAAGCTAGAATCAGATGATCAAGTGAAACGTTTGATTTTATTCATTCAAATTCATTCTCTGACATTTTACAATTACATTCTTCCTCCATGATATTATGAGTTCTTGACGAGTTATTTTATTCAATAAGAAAAATTAGTTCAGCGAAGAGTTCTCCCTTTTTCGGCGAATTCATTTTCAAAACTGTACAAGATCATGAGTCAGTTGAAGCTAGACCATCATGGAAAACTTGGAAGCACTGGATGGCCGTTTCGTCCTAGTATGGGACTCCTCAGCAATGCGCATCCACGACTTCGCCCCCTGCAAATATATATACTTATTTTAACAGGATGATAATAATACTGATAATAGACTTCTGTTAGGCATGTTGACAGTGAGCTTAAATAAACAAAGGTATTAAAAAAAAATTTTTAAACAAGGGAAGTTTAACAATCGTTTGATTTTTAATGATAGTGAAATTATCATTGGGAAAAGATGGCTCAGCATGATAAAATAAAATGTTGAAACAGAGATGAAATGTAATCGGAATGATCGTGGAAATAAAAACAAACCAATTGAGGGTAGGAGATTTAAAGGGAAGATGGAAGGTGAAGCAGATGGCTGTAAATAAATAAGAGTATGAAAAAGAGAGAAAATTTTTAATACATTAAGACCATGGTAGAAGGAGAGGTTGTACCAGTCTCTTGCACACAATTCTGGTTTTTCCAGATGTATGGCTATTACTTTGGCAATATAAAGATGATGCAGTCTAATTCGCCGAAAAGAGAACTCTCCGCTGAACTAATCTTTCTTATTTAATGTCTTAATGGGTGTATTCCGTTTATTTTATTCAATTTGAACAATTCTGTAATATCAGTGAGGTGATATCACAACAGACCTGGTTGAACTCCACTGGTAACGGCTTCTAACTAGAACTCCAGAAGTATCTCCTAAAGTCGCGCAACCTCGTGGATTGGTTGAAGTTAGACATTAACAACGTTGGATGCCGGCTCAGTGGTCTAGTGGTTAAGTGCTCGCGCGCGAAGCCAGTAGGTCCTGGGTTCGAGCCCCGCGTGGTGCGGGATCGTGGATGCGCACTGCTGAGGAGTCCCATACTAGGACGAAACGGCCGTCCAGTGCTTCCAGGTTTCCAATGGTGGTCTAGCTTCAACTGACTCATGATTTCAACCTGTGAAATTCTGTAATACATTATTCAACAAGTGAATTTATATGGTTAATTTCTTTCAATAGTTAGGTTATGTATTTTCCATGTTCCAA